TTGTTTTATAAAATTAGGGGCATTTTAGTGTATATTTTATAATATTCAGTGCATAAATGTTTACAATTGTTATATCTTCTTTACAGATTGTGCCTTCAGTTATGTGCAGGGCCTCTTTTGATCTCTTCTAATTAGTGTTTGTTTGAAGTTTACACTATCCAGTTTAAGGATAGCGATCCCTGCCTGTTTACAGTTTCCTTAGGCTTTGTAGCTTGTTTCCCATCCCCTGATACTGAGTTTCTTCATATCTTTGCTGGCTAGGTGTGTTTCTTGGAGACAACATATAGTTATCTCTTGTTTTAAATCCAGTCCATTAGTCTACATCTTTTTTGGAGACAGGGTCTCCCTGTAACCCCAGCTGGCCTGGAACTCACTATGTAGACCAGGCTGGCCTCAAACTCACAGAGGTCCCCATGCCTCTGCCTCTCTACTGCCAGGATTAAAGGCGTGTACCATAAGTCTTGGCTCATTTTTCTTTAATTTGTGATCAAATTTTTATCTTGTGCTCTTTGAAGCAGACCTCAAGCCAATATGCTCAGAGGGACTTTAAAAACAGGTGATTATATTCCATCATGAAGAAGCTATAATGATGATAAATCCCCAGAAACAGAGGGTTGGTGCACTCAGCTTCATTCATAAAAATTACTGCCGGACATGTACGCATGGATAGAGCCCCATGCAATAATGGTGGGTGACTTCAGTATCAGACTATCATCAACAGACTGTCACCAAGACAAAAACAAACATACAAAACCCAAATCCTGCCCTACTAGAAGGCCGGTATTGCATGGATACAAAACCTGCACTCACACAACACAGCAACGGAAAGGGACCTGTCAACGGATTCCTTTGATTGATAATGGGACAGAAATGTTCACTACATTCTAGAAAATGGAATCAAGAACTCATTGAAAAACTCACAGACCACGATCAGGATGGTTTCACTCTAGCCATGCCCTGATGGTTCAAGATATCCAAATCAATGAACATAAGAGTCAAGGACAGAAAATCACCTGACCATCTCATAGATACAGAAAAGGCTTTTGACAAAACTCAAGGTCCCTTCATGATAAAAATCTATAAAAGAAATATGGGAATAGGCCAGACATAGTTATGTAGGCCTTTAATGCCAACTCTTATAGGCAGAGAGAGGCAAGAGTATATTTGTGAGCTGGAGGCCAGCCTGGTCTATATACTGAGATCAGGAACAGCCAGGGCTAGATGGTAAGATTTTTGTCTAAAATAAACAAACATACAAAGAAAACACTGGGAATAGAAGGGCCAGAGCTCCTGTCTCCATGGATGGCCACATACTTGTGTGCACATAGGCAGCAATAATCGGACTCAAGGTTATTAATAACAAAACTAAAAAGAGAACAGGACGTTGGGAGCGAGATCAGGTGGTGGCGTTAGGGGGAGTGTGAGGGAAGCATCAGTGGAGGGATATGATCAATATATGCTACATGGATGCATGAAACATTCAAAGAATACAACTTGTTATTTAATAAAAAGGACCAAAGTTGCAGCACAGAGACTACACACAGCACACCTGTAGGCAACGGTGTACGAAATGAGGGCAACGGAAAGTATTTCCCCTAAAATCAGGAATGAAACGGGGTGTCCACTCTCTGTTCTTATTCAGTGTAAACAACAAAAGAAGAGAAGCCAATCAAGGGAGAAGAAAACAATCCTTTTTTGCAGATGACAGAAACAGACACTGAAAGGAACTTCCAGATGATGCCAAAAAGCTCTTAGATCCTATGGTCACTTTCAGTAAGTTCCAGGGCACAAAATCAGCATAGCAAAATAAATGGCCTTTCTATATACCAATAACAACCATTCTGAGAAAGAAATCAAAAGAATCCCATTTATATCGGCCTTAAGAAAATACCTATGGGTAAACAAAGCTTCATCTGAGGTGGCAACAGGCAGCTTTGGGGATTAGGTTTCTGGCTTTAGTTGTCCTAGACGGCACCATACAACAAAGCCTGTTACCTGTAGGACCCCACAGCACTGCTAGAACCAGATTTCTGCTTCCCCAGGTCCATCTGCACCTGGGGATTAGATTGCCTCACCTTTGAAGAAAACAGGGAGCATCTTGTGATCAGACATCCAGTCTGGTGGTCTCAGATTCAGTGTGAGTTTTAACTTCAAAGTTTCCAGGCCCCCCAGAGGATTGTGGTTTGTTTCCAGTGGTCTCTTAAGGGGATGAGTGGGTGGGGAGGGAAGGTCTCTTGGGTTCCAGTGCACACCGCAGGATTAGCAGTCTGCATCGCTGTGGTCTTGGAGGTCGCTTCCGGCCTGTGTTGTTGACTGCAGCTTCAGGCTGATGCATAGACTTTGGTGAGTCTGAAATTAGGGATCCTATCTGTAGCAAGTTCACAGAGTCCTGGAGATTTCTGGGTAACAGTCTTGTCTGGGTGCTTTTTGTCTCGGTGTGTTACCCAACGAGGAAGCTGTGACAGGATTACCTCAGGGATTTCATTAGACAATCAACACCGAGCTCTACCTGTCCTCCCGCAGACATCCCTACAGGGAGAATCCCAGGAGAACAGAAGCACCCACATCCTGGAGGAAGTCAAGATGGAAAGACAAACCCATTCCAAGAAATGGGACAAATGGAACAGAGAAACATAAAAATGTGATACGCCACCATGACCCGCCCCCAGGCCGCTAATTCCCACATAAGGGAACTGAAAACCACTGATAGCTAAGATGTCTGAGCAGGAACCCAGGGCTTTGCTTTTCAGAAGAATCGCTGGCTATTTGCTAACAGAAGACCCAAACACACAGATGCAGGAATCGAGGAACTCGATACAAGACCTCAGGAAGACAATCTCCAGAGCGAAGGAAACAGGCAGCAAACTGGAATGGAAAGTCCAAGAACAAGTCTGAAGATTGAAAGGGACATAAACAGGACATGTGAAATGAAGGAGACCGTCAGTGAAATAAAGCACAACGGACACTGTCATTTACAGACACGACCCTGCAGAAGAACGAGTTTCAGGGATAGATGATAAAGTCAAGGCAATAATACCAACAGACATATATAAGGAAAAACGTTAAGTAGTATGAGTGAAAGTTCCCAGAAATCTGTGATAGATTTAAGAAGGCGACCTTGAGAATCACGGTGGCAAAGAAGGAGCATATGTAAAATCAAATGGAATTGGCAGACTGTTCGACGTATTATGACAGAAAACTTACCAAACATAGCAAAAGAAATCGACGTTCAAACAGGAGGATCTATTCAAATGGACACAAGAAGAAACTAATGAGAGAGAGACTAAAAGACAATACGTAAAAACAATGAAATAGGTCCTTGGAAAAAGTAAACAAGATTGAGAAATCCTTAGCCGATCAGTCAGAAAGGGAGAACGCACGAACACAACTGAAGATCAAAATGGCATCACTACAACACACGCCAACGAAATACAGAACATTAGTATTGATTACTTTGTAACCCTGTACTCTAAAATCTGGAAAACCAAGAAGAAATAGAAGAATTTTTAAATGCATAACAACCATCAAAATATAAACCACAGTAATAATGACTTAAACAGACCCATTACAAGCAACGAGGTAGATGTAATCAAAAGTCTCCCTTTAAAGAATAACCCAGGACCAGCTGACTTTACTGCTGAATTCTGTCAAAATTTAAGGACATTCTCATCCCAATACTTCTTAACTTGTTCCATAAAATAGAAAGTAAAGGCATATCACCAAATTACTTTAATGGAGCCAGTCTTATTCTCATACACAAAGCAGATAAAGACATACCAGAAGAAAGAAGAAAACTGGAAACAACTGACCAATTTCTTTGATAGATGCAAACATTCTCAAGAAAGGACTTGCAAACAAAATTCAGGAGCATATTAAGAAGATCATAATTATGATCGAAAGGTCTTCATCTCAGAAAGGAAGGTTGGTTAACATATACAAATCAATAAATGTATTATACGATATAAGCACACTTAAGGACAAAACCACATAATCATTTCAATTGATGCAAAAAATTATTTGACAAAGTTCAGCATGCCTTCATGATAAAAGTTCTGGAGATGTTAGGAATACATAGAGTAAACCTCAAAATAATAAAGGCTATAAACAACAAACCTAGGGCAATGTTATATGAAATGGAGCCACATTGAAAACATTTCCTTTCAAATAAGGAGCAAGACAAGCATGCCCATCTCCTCTCTCTCCACAGTGCTCGGTGTCTTAGAGCGAGGGGAAAGGCACCAATGGAACAAAAACAGGGAGAGATCAAATATTCTTATTTGCACGACACAATTCTGTACTTAAACACCCTACAGAATCACCTAGAAAATTCCTAGATCTAATAAATATTTACAGTAAAGTTACAGGATACAAAATCAATATTTTTGAAAAAAATCAGGCTGGGCATGGTGGTGTATGCCTTTATCTCAGGAAGCAGAGGCAGGCAGATCTCTGTTTAAGGCCTGTCTGGGCCACATAGCAAGCTCCAGTTCAACTAGAGCTGTGTAGTGAGAACCTATCTTTAAAAAAAAATAAAATAAAATTTAAAAAGCCCCCAAATAGCCTTCTTATAGACCAACAATATGCTCTCAGAGAAGGAAACTCTGAGAATAGGAAAAATATCCAATTCTAAACAGCACTAAAAACAAATTAAGTACCTAGAAATGCAACTAACTGAAGAAAATAAAGCCCTCGCAATGGAAACATAGAAACAATGAAAAGGGAAATCAAATAAAATACTAGCTCACAGAAAGAAATCTCATGCTCCTGGATTGACAGAACCAATATAGCGAAATGACTGTGCTACCCAAATTAGTCTAAAGATTTAATGCAATACCTAGGAAAACTTCAGTGTCATATTTCACAGAACTAGAAGGAAAAAAAAAATCCAAGAGTTCATATGGAGCCATAAAAGAAAGCGAGTAGCTAGAGCAGAGTTTCAGAGTAAGAACACAGCAGGAGACGTCAAAACACCCAACCTCAAATTATGCTGCTAAGTCATAATGATCAAGACAGGCCGGTACTGTTATAAAAACCGATATGTACACGAATGGAACCGTATAGAGGACTCAGAAAGAATATGACAGATCTATTTCCATCTAATTCTTGACAGAAAGGAGGCAGAAACACACTTCAAATAAAAGGTAATCTATCCAAGAAATGGCGTTGGCAAAACTGGCTTTCCACCTAGGAAGAACAAAGTTAGACCCACGCTGTCCCCTTGCGCAAATCAATTAAAAATGGGTTAAATACCTTAACTTTAAATCTGAAATTCTGTAAATAGTTCCCTGACGAAAATATAGGGAAGACACTCAGGATGTCAGGTAGGGAAGGACTTTATGAGCACAACACCAATAGCATGGGAATTAGCCCAAGTATCAGCAGATGGAACTACAGGAGATTAGAATTTTTCTGCACAGCAGAGGAAACTTTCAGCAGAGCACACAGACAGCCCACAACTGAAGGGAATCTTTAAAACCATGCATCTGACAAGGTGCTAATAGCCAAAACAGAAAAGAAGTGCAAATTTTGAATACCAAGGAACTATATTAGCAAATGAATTTCCAACAAATTGAATAGACAGTTTTCAGAAAAAGAAATACAATGACAACTAGTTTTATCTCTTTATTTACTCTTGTATATGTTTTTTATTAAATTTTTATCCATTTCATATAAAACATCTTATCATCTTTACACTGCCTCCCCGATCCACAAACCCCACATCCCCCTCCCACTGGATTTCGTGCATTCTGTCGTATGTGTTAAGGTCTATCGAGTCAAGTTTGTCTATCTAGATGTCCCTCAGTGCAAGTCCATCTACTGAAGTCTAGTCAGCCTATCTAGAGTCTCTCCCTTAAAGAAGATCAGCTCTCCTTCACCCAGGAGTGATCAGTTGCCAATAGTTCCTCAGCCAAGCCTGGGACCTGCTGCCCGTTACCCCAGTTCTATGCTGGGTTTTTGTCTGACTGAGTTTGCATGGGTCTTGTGCATGCTGTCACCATTCCTATAAGTTCACACAAGCAAGTTTCCAGAGGTCTGAAAGCCTCTGTTTCCTTATGTTCATGCACCAACGCTGCTCTTATAATCTTTCCACCCCCTCTTCCGAAATGGTCCTCGACCCATGGGTAGGTGAGGTTTAAATAGGAGTCCTACCCAGGGACATGCACTCTGAAGTCTCTTATTCTCTATACTTTGGCTAGTTGTGACCTTCTGTGTGCATTGCACTCTGTTATATGAGGAAGCTTCACTGGTGTGAGTTGAGGGATGTATGAGTATTGTCTACCCCCGTTCCATTACGTTCCAGGAGTGTTAGGTGCGTTAGGTGCAGAGGTTCCATTGCAGATGTGCCGCTTAGGGCTGGGCATCTCTCAGACACTTCTCTGTGTGTGACCAGTTGTGGAACTCTGTAACAGTCTCCATCTGTTGCAAAAAGAAGCTTCTTTGATGAGCGGTGACTGGTGTACACCGGAGGAAAGACAGCATCTTCAACAAATGGAGCTTCCAAACAGCTATTTTTAAATTGCACAGCATCCCTGATCATCAGGGAGATGTAGTAAAACTATCGTGAGCTAGCACTTCATGCCAGTCAGAATGACTATTAACAAGAAGTCCATTCTGGTGTGGTGGTGCATTCCTTTAATTACAGCACTGGGAGGCAGAGGCAGGCAGAGCTATGTGACATCAAAGCCACTGTGGCTCTAGGTTCTAGGCCAGCTGGGGCTACAGGGAGACCATGTGTGAAAGAGAACAAAAGCAAAAAATCAAATCTGACAACAAGTGCTGGAGAGGATATGGGGAAAGTGGCCCCTTACTCACTGCTGGGGGAGTGCAAATTAGTACCGCCATTATGGAAATTCGTCTGGCCATTCCTCAAAAAATTAAAAATAGAGCCCCTATGACCCAACTATTACAGTTGTTGGCACATACCCAGAGGAATTCGTTTCTTACTATAGTATATTTATGTCCCGTTTATTGTTACTCTACAAAATATAGGAAGGAGATGGAAATAATCTAGCTGTCCATCAGCAGATGAATGGTAATGAAATTATGGTATGTATAAAAATGGAATATCAGGAGCTAGAGATATGGTTCAGCGGTTAAGTGCATTGGCCATTCTTGTAGGAAGACCTGGGTTCAAATCCCAGCACCCACATGGCAGCTAACAACCATACATAACTCCAGTTCCAGGGGATCCAATGCCCTCCTCCATCCTCAGTGGGCATTGTACAACACGGATGTGCTTACATATATGCAGGCGATATACTCACACACATAAAATAAAATAAATAAAATAGTTTCAAATGCAGTATTATTATTCAGCTCTAAAGAAAAATGAAATTAAAATTTTACAGAAAAATGAATGAACTTAGGTCATCCAGTATCAAGAAGTAAACATACACGTTCACTCTCATATGAGTTTCTTAGCCTTTACATATGTGTATGCAAACAAATGCATGTGTGGGGATCGTGTATTTAGGATTCAGAGCAAGGAAGGTTAATTACAAAGCAAAGGAACATGGTTTTTGTCCCCCCTACCCCCATGGTGGATGTGTGTATTCAATTTTCAGTCCACTGAAGTACCAGGAATCATTTCTGTTTTCCTTAAGAGTCCTATAAGGGTTCTCTCACTGGGGTGGGGACTGTGGGAGTTGGGCTTCCTTTTCCGTTTCATAGATAAATAGTGCAGCGAGAATTTGGCATGATTTGTTTGACATGTTGAACGAGAATACCATTATTGTACTTGGTGACTACTTTTTATTCTGTGCTAAACTGTGTAATAAAACTTTTAAAAAATTACAGGAACCCACCCAAGAAGGTGAAAAAACATTTACAATGAACCCTAAAATTCCTCCAGAGGTACAAAAGATCCTGAACAGTTAAAGCCATCCTGAGCACAAAGAGCAATGCTGCACAGATCCCAGTACTTAGTCTCAAACTACACTACAGAGCCACAGTGTAAACAGCCTGGTCTTAAACATAGGCACGGAGACTGGTAAGTGGAAGAGAGAGCAGAGAACTAGTCCACGCGGCTACGGCCACCTGACGCTTGACAAAGGCGCCACACAGGTACAAGCACAGCATCTTCAAGAAACGGGGCAGGGAAGACTCGACATCCACATGTAGAAGACTGAAATGACATTCCCAGCTCTCATGTAATCCAAAAATCAACTCAAGATGTGGCAAATGTCTAATTTAATAGCTGAAATGTGAAAATCCTGGAAGAAATTGATAAAAAGCACTTCAAGATCTGCTCATAGGCCTTGTGATCATGTCAAATTAAAGAGCGCCTGTCCAACTAGACAACAGTTGCTGCCGTTAAAGAGACAACACACAGAATTGGACAGTCTTTGACAGGTATTCAACTGAGAGTGGATTGACGTACAGATTATATGTATTTTTGAATTTATTTGATTTTTTAATGAAGTTTAGTACTGTTCCCAAAACCCTACAGGGCATAGACATATTCGAGTGGTACAAAATTTATAATTCAGGGGTGGCATGACCGGAGCGCACCCGGCGGTAGCTGTGGCCGCTGGAAGGGGACTGTTTTAAGGCTTTTAGAAATGTTACCATCGTGTCTGACACTCAAGAGGCTGCTGACCAACTCCTGAATGTGAACCTTCACGAGGAGAGAGCTGAGCCAGTGACAGGAAGTGATGTCAGAAGTGAGTCTGCGCCTCTCCACGTCCCTGTTGGAGCCACTGTGCCCACTGGTGCCCCCTGGTGCCCCCTGGCTCTGAGCAAAAAGCAGCAGGTGAGAGGGACTCAGCAAAGGTGGGGCAAGATATATTTTGGCGTTGCAGTGCGAAGTTTGGCTCAGGTTCAGTGTCTAAGATCAGCTGATAACTTGTTTGTGGTTGCTCCGGAGTTGAAAGATTACCAGTTCAAAAATACAAAGGAAGAACTGGGTGAAAAGCTCCCCTGGTCAGAACTTTTAAAAGTATGGCAAATTAACACCAGTTTACAGAAGGAAAAAGCGAAGATAGATTGGGATTCAAAGAAAGAGAAGACTGATTATGGACAAGGAGAGGAGTCAGATGAAAGACAGTAAAGAGAAGCTTGCCAACAGCACCCCGGATTCGCATATCTTAGACTATTATGAAAATCCGGACATCGAGGAGGAGGTAGGGATGGGATGTCTTGGCACCGTGTAAAGATGAGACTGATGAAAACTTAAGAGGAGACGCTGAGCCACAAGTGCGGAAGTTTAGAGTCACAGGCGACAGTGCAGGAATGAAACACTGCTTTGCCTCAAATGAGGCTGCAAGAGGTTTTGAGGGTGCTGTTCAAGGTTATTTTAAGTGGAAACTGATATGACCAACTTTGATGTGGAGGTAGGTATGCTCTGACTGATGGTTCAAAAAGTTTGTAATGGGTCGGGGGGATGGCTCAGTGGCTAAAGCACTGGCTGAGCCATCCTGAGAATCTGATTTGGGGTCCAAGCAGGGCATAGATGCGTGCATCTCTAACCCTAGCACTGGGAGGTAGACACAGGCAGTACCCTGGAGCTCACTGTCCAGTCCAGCTGAAATGAGAGGTCCGGGTTTAGTGAGAGACCAAACCTCAAACAATAAGGTAGCACTAGAGGTATGACACCCAGTGTCAACCTCTGGCCTCAGCATGGGCAAGCACACCTGCATGCACATATCCACACACATGACATACACAAGAATATTTTGTAGACTTTTCAGACTGCACTATTTTTTGTTAACTTGAGACAAATTAGACACACCTGGGAAGAGGAACCTCAATTGAGGAATTTCCTCCATCAGATTGGCCTGTGGCTATGTCTGTGGGTGTTTTCTTGATTGCTGGTTGATGTAAGGGGGCCCAGCCCACTGTGGGTGGTGCCATCCCTGGGCAGGTGGGCTGGGCTGTATCAGAAAAGTAGCTGAGCAAGTCAGGGGGAAGCAAGCCAGGGAACAGCTTCTGCCGTGGTCTGTGCTTCAGTTCCTGCCTCCAGGTTCCTGCTGGAGTTCCTGCCTCGACTTCCCTCAGTGACGGACTGTAATGTGAGAGATGTAAGATGAAATAAACCCTTTCCTCCCCCACCTCCAATTTATAATTCCCATGTCCTGAAATCACATGTGTGCATTGTTCATTTGAGGACTTATTTTACACTGAAAATGTGTTATATGTTGAGAGAGCAAAGGACTTACACTAAACATACTGTAATATGAGCCTACCACTATGCCTTTTAAAGATTAGCCTTTCTTTTTCTCCTTTCTAACTGTTACCGTATACCCACTTATCCACTTTATATTCATATATACAGTATAGGCTAGGATCCCCATAAGAGGGAGAACATTCAACTCTTCCTGAGACTGGGTGAGCTCAATTAATATTATATCTCCTCCATCCATTTTCCCGAGCATTTTGGAATTTCATTTTTCTTTAGAGCTGGATTCTATTTTATAGATGTATGAGGTTTTCTTTATCCGTTCATCTGTTATGGACAACTAAGGTCCCATTTCCTTACTGTAGTGAATAGGGCAGCAGTAAATACGGGGCTGCAAAAATCTGTCAAGGTATGGAGTTCTCTAGATACGTGCCCAGGAGTGAAATAGCCGGGTCATAGGGTAGTTCAATTTTTAGTTCTTGAGGAATGTCCAGATTGATTTCCATAATGTCTGTGCTAATTTTCACTCCCATCAGCAGTGAATAAGGGTTCCTCTTTCTCCACATCTTGTCAGACGTCTTGATGATAGATATTCTGACTGGGGTTAAGTGATATCACAAAGTAGTTTAAATTTGCATTTCCCTAATGACTGGCAATATTGAACTGAAAATAGTTGTTTTCATTTGTATTTCTGTTTTTGAAATTGTCCGTTCAATTCACCAGCCCATTTGCTGATGGATAGTTTTATTTCCTTGTTATTTAATTTCTGCTGTTCTGTGTTCAGAGTAGATGTTAGCCCCTCGGCTGACACGCAGCTGCTAAAGATTTCCTTCTATTCTGTGGGTGCCTATGCAGTCTGATGATAATTTCCATTGCTGTGCAGAGACATTTTAATTTAATGTTATTTCATCAGTTGATATTTGTGGCTAGATCCCAAGCTACTGATATTCTGTTCAGAAAGTTCCTGCCCATCTCAGTGTCCCTATGTTTTCTTGTAGAAGGTTCAGCATTTCAGGTTTTCAGTTAAGGTCTTTGACCCATTTTGAATTTTAACTTCGTGCAAGGTGAAAGATATGAACCTAATTTTACTTTTCTGCAGGCAGATAACCAGTTTTTTCCCAGAATCACTCGTTAAATGGGTTCTCTTTTTCCAAAAGTATGTTTTGTCAAACATTTGTGAAGACTTATGTGGAAATAGCTTTGTCATTTGTTTCTGGGTTCTCTATTCCTTTCCGTTGATCTACCTATCTGCTTTTAATGCCAGTGCCAGGCTGTTTTTAGCACTGTAGCTCTGTAGTATAACTTGAGGTTGGATATTGTGATGCCTCCATTTGACTCTTAATCTTGGAATTGTTTTGTTTACTTGCAATCTTTTGGGATTCTGTATAAATTCTTGAATTGTTCTCTTCTATAAAATATCTGAAACATGACCTTCAAATTTTGATAGGTACTGCATTAAATCTGCAGATTGATTTTGAAGTATAGGCTTTTCTGTAATATCAGTTCTGCAAATCCAAGAGCACGAAAGAACTTTCCTTCATCTAGTTTCTTCTTTGATAATCTTTTCCAGAGTGTCTGGAAGTTTCCATCGTAGAGGTCTTTCTCTTCTTTGGTGAGGTGCATTCCTAGAGAATTTGGGAGGAGTTATTTTCAATAGGATCCTTTCCTTAATTTATTTCTCTGAGACTATATATATGAAAGTTTAAAAACCTTGATTTTGCATCCTGCAACATTACAGTGTTCATTAGCTCTGGGTGTATAATGGTAGACTGTATAGGGTTTTTAGGACAGAACCTTGTTATATGACATAGGTGACAATTTGACTTCTTCCTTCCCTATTTTTACCCCCTTTATTCCTTTCTCTTGTCTAATCGCTAGGGCTAAGGCTTCAAACATTGTGTTAGTAGGAGAGTGGAGCGTGAGCATCCTTGTGTAGAGGAAATGCTCCTAAGCTGTCCATTGACTATACTGTTGGCTCTAGGTCTGTGGTATAGCCATCATTCTTTGGAGATTTGCTCCGTCTACTCCATCTATTTCCAGATCATTTACCACAGAGGCTTGTCCAGTTTTCTCAAGTGCTCGTCCCACATCAATCACTGTAATTTTGTGGTTTCTGTCCTTAGGTGTGTTTATATGGCGTATTCCATTTGTTGATTTGTGTATGTTGAACCAATGTTGCTTTTCTTGGGTGAGGCACAGAAAGCCATAATGTGTGATCTCATTAATGTGGTCCCGAATTTTGTTTGCAAGTATTTTGTTGAGAAATCATGTACCTATGTTCATCAAAGGCATCGGCCTATAGTTTTGTTGTTGTTACTGTTGCTGCTGTTTTGTCTTTATCTGATTTGAATAATACCGGCTTCACAGAAGGACTCTAGTAGTATTCCTTTATTCTTTGTTTTGTGGAGTAGATTAAGAATGATATAAAATCTTTCTTGAAATTTTGATAGAATATAACACTGAATCTGCCCAGTCCTGGCCTTGTCTTTAAGAGGAGATATTTGATAACAGCTCTGCCCTCACTGGTTGTAATGGGTCTATTTTAGTTATTTCTATCTTCAGGTTTAATTTTGGAAGATGATATGCTTTTCGAAATTCTTCTCTTTCTTCTAGGTCTTCTAGGTTTTTACAATATAAGTCTTCAAAGTATTATCTAATGCTCGGTGTTTCATTGGTAACTGTTGTAATGATACTTTTTATTTCTATTTTGATAATTTGTGTCTTCACTTGCTTCCATTTTACCAGGTTGGATAAGGCTTTTTCAGTTATTAAACTTTTCAAATAATTAAGCCTTTGATTGATTTTGTGTATTGTTCTTTCAGTACTGACTTCATTAACTACTTACCTAAACTTTATTATTTCTTACCATCTTGGTAAGGCTGCTTTTTGTTCTTCAAGGTCCTTGAAGTACATCACTCGGTTGTTTCTCAAATTTTTGTCCTTCTTAGATTATTTTTCTTTCCTTTTTATTGATTCTTTAGAATTTCATAAAATGCATTTGCTCGTATTCAGAACGCCTCCCCCATCTTCTCACAAATTCTCTCAAGTTTTTTAAAAACGCAACTTCAATTTTACTTTATTTTCCCCAGCAGATGGCTTTTCTTTACCCTTGTCAAGCCAGCTCTTTACATGGGATTTGGTGGAAGTCATGGTCAGCACCATACGTTTCAAAGTGTGGTGGCAGTGTTTGTTATTTCTGGGCTCCACAAGACTGGTTCCGGACCGCCTTACCACGAACGGCACAGCACACACAGCAATGCAGTCAACGTAGAGCTTGGAAACACAGATGTACCAAGACACTCACTTCAGAAATGTCCTTGATGGCAGTGGCCTCTACTATATTCACAATGAGGAACTTCTTAATGGCCTGTCCTTAGGCATGGGCCAGGTGCAGTTCCTGCCACAAATGGGCTCCACGTGGCCCTGGCCCTTTTCAGTGCACCCATTTTTTCTTCTTCTTTGACCCTCTTGGAACCAGACCCTAAAGAGGACCATTCTGATTTTTTTTTTTTATATGAGTAACTAGCACTATAAACTCTCCTCTTAAGACTGCCTTGGCTGCATCCCAGAGTTCTGACAGGTTGAG